AATGACTGGTAAGTCTCAAAACACAGTAAGCAAGAGCCAAAGAAAAAAAAAATGCCCTGAAGTGCCCAGATCTTAAAGATAGGCCAGTCAGGGAATCTGTTTCCATCTGCAAGACGTGCCTGCTACAGCACAGCCTGTAGCACACTCAGCGTGGCTCCAGCTGGAAGGCTTCCAGCACCCAAGAGGCAATGCTGGGAACGTTTTACCTCCTGAGTAAATGCTGAGCAGCATGAGGGAGGCAATGCAGCTGGGGTGGCATGATTGATTAGCTGAGGTGTGTCACGTAGTGCTTATTGAAGGATGAGTTCAATTAAACAGAAAAAGCTGTGAAACCTCGATTAAATTCAAACACAGATTATTGTGTCCTATCTACCACTCAACCACGTTCAACTTGAACTTCACTTTCCTGACCTATGGAGCTGCATCTAGGAGAGGAGTTAAACTGCACCTCAAGAGTGGGGCAAGAATTACTAGATGAACTCATAAAGGCATGTCTTGACAGCATTTATGGAAACTCCTTGCCTAGGTGTCCGAAGGACTTCAGGGACCCTCAGCTGTGACTGAAGATGGGGAAACAGAGCCTGCTCAGAGTGCTGTGTAGTTATGAGAGTGGGAGAGTGGGAGTTATGAGAGCTGGGAGATAAAAAAAACAGACTGAAACGCTGCAAAAAAAAAAAAGAGCTTGTGAGGGTCAGTCCTCTGGGGAGAGGGGAGGAGATGGGAAAGAGGAGCAGCAGTTTGTATGCAGCCCTCCTTTCATTTGCATTGTTAACTTTCTACAACATCTGGGCACCTTCAATAGTTCATGAACTGCTAAAGCAGCTGGCAAATGTGATTCCCAACTCGGACGGTCTCTCTGACGCACACTGAATCAAAGAGCAATGAAATAGTGTGTGGCTGCAGTTGACTTCTTTTCCAGGAATGCACGTCAAACAGTAACCCCCTGTTTGTTTTGCAGCAAAATGCAAATAGTTCTGTTGGGACGGATCCTCAGATCCCTTGCTTCTAATGTATAAGCTGTCTGGGGCAGCTCCCTCTTGGAGCATCGTCTGAGGCACTGTTTTGTTGCAAGCTAAATACACACCAAAAGATTCAAAACAGCCCTTTACTTATGGGCTTTTCTCTGAAAGCAGGTGGCAAAGCAAACACGTCGTGCTGTCGGCCACATCCACTATTCTTGGTCTGGACTGACATCTGAACAATGCCTGGACAGACATCTAACAAACCAGCTACAGAGCCGAGTGACTGCTGATGTAAGTTTGTGCCTCCCTCCTCTGCCCTACATGCTGCTCCCTCCCCACAAGATAATAGAAAAGTTTCCCAGATGGACAGAACCCACTTTAAAAACAATAGGGCTTTGAAATGTCAGTGAAGGCTTGCTTGGCATGCGCTGTGTGTGCCAGCAATGTGATAGAGCCTCCTTGGTTTTTATAATTGTAGCCCTTCAATCTAAAGCAATGTGATGCACTGCAGCAACAAAACATCCTGCATGCACCTGGCAGCCACGCTTCCACTGGGTGACCCCTCCACCCCTCCCCAGCCCCCAGCTCCAGGTTAGAATCTGACCAGCCACATTTGCAGAAGATCCATTCTGTTTGATTACTGTCACAAAGATGTGCTGCCCATTGCTGCTGCTTCTCTCTGTACTGCCCATTTTTACGTCTGATGTCACAACATCAAACAAAGGATTTGAACCAATCAAGAAGAGAAAAAACAATAGATGTCCTGACATTAATTCATCAAGGCAACAGGAGAATGCAAGGCATACTTTGCATATTCCTACATGCAAGGTCTTACTAGCTGGACTACTTGATTCTGTGAAGGCAGTGGCTTTTCCTTAAATAAATACTAAAAGCTAATGGAGGTGCAGGCAGATCGTTAGATAATCCAAATATTAAGCAAATGCTGTTCTCTCCATTTAACAGAAATGCACAGATTGCTGTGTGCTGATGTTCCCAGCACCAACAAGTGTGTGGCGGGACACGGGGCACCAGATGGCAGCATTTATTGCCTGCAGATCGCAGAGCAGCTCAGGCTGCTGCTTTGCTGCTACACAGCTCATGCTGATTACACCTCTGAAGGCTGCACTGCAATGTCTTCTTCCTCCTTTGCATCGATGATCGTGATACCACTGGGTAAGGCCGATAACCTAATGCAAGATCCCATGCCAAGATCTCTTTTGTGCAGCAGATTTCACACAAAGACCAGGTATACCATCATTAGCTGGCTTTTATCTGTCTGATAGAGGAGAGCTTGGCTGGAATTTAAATACTAAGCCAGGGGAAAGCCAGAAAATACCAAAGGTACCTAACCCTCCTTGTGTCAAACAGCAGCGTGCAGAATGCCCTGGCTGGGAGCTTCTTCTGGAAGCTGGTTTCCGTGCTTCTTCACCTGCATCTCATCTTTAAAGCTTAAATACGTACATGCGGGCTGCAGAACGCAAACCAACATCTGTCATACAAAGTTTCCTTCATTGAAAATCGAGCAGAATTTATTAGCCACGCTCTGGACTGGTTTTAGAGATAATGAGTTGAGATTGTTAGTATCAAAAACTACTGCACATGAAACAGAGCTACTGCAATCTCAGGCCCATGAGGAAAGGAAAGCCAGCTCCTGATGTATTCTTCCCAGCAAAGCATGCATCAGAGTGAGGGCTGTCCTGCTGATGGCTGGCATTACACTGCTGTCTCTGCTTGACTGTCTTCCCCAGGTGTGAAGAAATTCAGCCTCTCGCCCCTACCTGCAGCCTCCTTCTAAATCTGTACTTTAAAAGCCAGAGATGAGCTATTTTTTCACATTTGAGATATGGGAGACACTTCATCTCTTTCCCAGAAAAGCTTCCTCAGTTAGCACCTCAATTTCTATTCTGTGCCTACAGCCCCTGTGCCCCAATCTGTTGGATATCCTGGAGATCCTGGGAGATTTGGCTTTACCAACACATAGAAACTATTCCAGCCAGAGAAGCAGCTCCTCACAGCCACCACCACTGCTGTGGCACAGCAGTGCTCAAGAACACCCAAAGGCCACCAGAGGTTTTTTTGCACTGCAGCAGAGGACAAGAGCAGTTTCTCTCACAGCCCTGTTGATTAAATAGCCATTGAAGGCAGCCAGCTGAAAGGAGGATTGACCAATGTGGTTGCATCAGTCAAGCTGCAAAACTAATGGTGTTGCCCAAGTCTCAGATGCTTCTGTGGCTCTGCTTTACCTAAGCTTCATTTTAAAACCAGCTCATGGTAGTTTGCCTGATTACCCAAGCAGCAAACATCCAACTACAGCAATTGCACAGCAACTGGTTTTGAAGCACAAAGCACCCTGTTTAACTTCTTCCTAATCCCCAACCCTGCTTTCACTTTGATTTCACTATTTCAAAATCAAACTATGCTGAACTCACAGGGACAGTCTCAGCACATTCAAAAACAGGTTTTTTGTTTCTAGCTTTTATTAGTGCTCCCCACGAGGCCCCTACGAATAGGAGATGTTTTTTCCCCAAAACACTGTAAATTGAAAATCATTCCCCTGCTGGCTTTGCAGTGCAGTTCTTATGCTCTATGGCCTAGGGACGGTCTGCTGTCAGCCTCACTACAGGCTAATGCTGTTTCAAAGCTGTTTGTTTTCATACTTCTTCCTGAAATCAATCATCTTCACAGTTGCAGGTCTTAAATTTCAAAACAGGGGAATATTATGAACACTTAAAGGCCCCAGTGATGCAAAGGGGGATTAATCTAGGCAGATGTATGTGTCCACACGGAATCTGCCTCATTTGGATGGTATTGCATGCAGATCTTATTTTCCAAAAGTCCTGTGGTGTACACCAAAGTGATCTAGGGCCAATGACTTCAGCACTCACATGAGGATTACTCATCTAATTAGGGGGTTTGCAGGCTCTGTGTGTTTCTGTGCGCTGTTAATGTCATTGTACTGACTTCTGGAACATTTGTCATTTAGAGATTGGCTTCACTTTTTTTTTTTGTTTTTTTTTGTACTTTTACGGGTACATTTGACCTCACAAGGTAGCATCAGTCCCAAGAATAAGGCTGTTATCTGCTCAAACGCAGTAAGTTTAGACCACAGATTTTTAGAAGATCTAGAAGCCTCTTCAAAGCCCTATTTATCTACAGAGGCTGAAATGCGGGGAGAAAGAATCTCTCTGAAAGGAGCACTGTCTTATTTTGCAATCAATGAGAACAAGCATAACCACAAGCGTGTTTTTTTTTTCTCTCTCCTTACTCCTCGCATGCTTCGGCACCTTGTCCATCCAGCACAGCACCTCCTTTGTCTTATTTATCGCAGCACTCAGGGCACAGCCTCCGGGACGAGGAGGATTACCGCCCAGGTCAGGTCAACCTCGGCTTTGCTCAGCCGGAAAGCTCCGGAGGCCGATCCCGCGATCCTGCCCTGCCCCCCCAGTGACCGATCTTCCCAGCACCCGACGCGAGCCTCCCAGGCACCTCACGCTGCCACGGCCGTCCCTGCACCATCCCCATCTAACCGCAGAACGGCCGGCTTGGAAGGGCTCTCACAGCCCACCCACTTCCTACGCCCGCCCTGGGCTGCGTTCCTCCAGCAGCTCACACTGCCCAGTGCCCCTCCAGGCACGGAGCACCCACACTTCTCTGAGCAGCAGCGCCAGCGCCTCATCGCCCTCCCGGTGAGAAATTTCGGGAGACCTGAATCGCCCTTTTTGAGCTCAGAGCCGCTCCCCTCCCAGCCCGGACGGCAGCGGCGCCGCTCCTCCAGCTGCGCCCCCCCCGGCAGCGGCCGGGCCCCGTCTGATGCAACCATAACACCACCGCGTGGTCACGCACGGCTGTTCCCTCCGCCAGCCAATAGCAGCCGGCCCTTCTCCTCCTGTGGGCGGAGCCTCCCCGTCTTCCCAACGGCGATAGGTCTAAATCCAAGCCAATCAACCGATAGGGCGGTTCCTCGGTAAGACCGCGGACCAATGGGAAGCGGCACCGCCTCGAACCGCCAGCACCGCGGAACCGGGGCCGGCGCGGGGGAGGCGGCGGCGCGGCGGGGGCCGGAGCGGGCCGAGCCGCCGCGCCCGCTCCATGGAGGCCGCAGCCGAAGCCCCGGGGGGGCCGGCGGCGCTCAGCTGCTTCTCTTACAACCAGGACTGCACGTAAGCGGGGCGGAGGGGTGATCGAGATCGGCCCTCGGGGGGGGGGGGAGGGGGGAAATGGGGGAAGGGAGAGAGAACAGAGCTTCCCCCGGCTCTGAATTGCGGCCTGCCCCTCCGCAGCCCAGCGCTGAAAGCTGTTCCCGGTGGCACAGCGAGCGAGCACCGCTGGGCTGGAAGCTCCAGTCAGGTTTGCAGACATTCCCGTGGAGGTGCTGTCAGCCTCCCGTGCCCAAACAAAGAGCAGCGCAGTGCTGCTGACGTGAGCCCTCAGCTGCCAGCACGGGGATTCCGTGCAGCTGCTCGCTAAAGGCACGGATGTTAATGCTTGGTGTCTGAGCAGAGCCAGCCCTTGGCACGGTTGTGCTGCGTGCCTGCAACCCTCAGCACAGGCAGAGCCACTCCTGGGTTCAGAAAGCCCCTGTGTAATGCAGCAGGTGTGTCCCGTGGGCCCTGTCTGCAGGCAGAGGGGTGACTGTCCTCCCAGCAGCCACAGAATCCCATGGGTGACACTGCTGCACATGGATGCTTTGCGGGCTGCAGCATCCTCAGATGGAAAGCAGGATGCTTGGCTTTGTTATATGTGGCTGGCTGAGAGGACGCTGTGCCTTCTCAGACCGCCGTATGATGAAATTACCCATTCCTTTTATCTGCAGGGACTCCTTGCTGTAAATGCACTACTGGATCTAAACCAGTGGGCTTTTGTCTTATCTTTGCAGCTCCCTTGCAATTGGAACCACAACTGGATACAGGCTTTTCTCCTTAAGTTCCGTGGAGCAACTGGACCAGGTCCATGAAAGCAGTAAGTCTCCACTCCCTGAGTGTTGGCACAGGCTTTAGCTATGTTACTGCAATCTGGTTTGTTTTGAGGGAGTGATTCTTCTTACTGGTCTCGCAGCAATGGCATCTATTTCTGCTGCTCACTTACCAGGACAGAAACAGCTCTGGCTGATGCCCTGTGCGTGGCAGCCTTTAAAGCCAACTGCAGCTGTGGAAAAACTCCTGAGCCACTATCAGTCACAGTTCCTAGTTATTTAAGTAAATGTCCAAAAGTGTCATTGTAATGGTGCCTTTCCAACGTAAGAGCCCAAACACGGTCACTGCAAGACATACTACACCACTGTTCACCTCAGCAATGGGAAGAGTAAATGTGTCAGCATTCCCATGTCCCAAGAAGGCTAGAAGAAATCAGACACCATGCAGAATGGACAGTGAGTTACACGCAGCCATGCCTTACCTTGGTAAGTCCTGGCCATTCACTCACTGCCTCTAGAAAGGCCCCTGACCAAACTGGCTCTCACTTCCTTTCATAGGAATGAGCTCTTCCTTTTTTATATCCCACCCCAAAGATTGCTTACAGCTGCAGGGCTCTGCCCAGGAGGGCATGACAGCATTCTGCCTTCAGGAGAGGGTTCATTAAGCCCTTCCTGCTTTGTGCCTGCTATGAGGAATTTTTAATAGAAGCTGATGTTGAACTTCTTAGCCCTGAGCCTAACCCCATTTCTTCCCGAATTGAGCTTCACTTGTCACTGCAAACAAACCAACCATAAACCAAGCTAAAGACTGTCTTGCTTTCCTTCTGTGCCCAGATGAAATCCCAGATGTTTACATCGTGGAGCGTCTGTTCTCCAGCAGCCTTGTGGTTGTGGTCAGTCATGCCAAGCCACAGCAAATGAATGTCTACCACTTCAAGAAAGGGACAGAGATCTGCAACTATAGCTATTCCAGTAACATCCTGTCTATCCGGCTGAATCGTCAGGTAAGGAGCTGGGGAAATGGGTTAGCCAGAGTTGTCCCACTCTGGCTCTTTACTGGTGCTGACTCTACACAGACCAGAGTCCATCTGGCACCCTGCTGTTCAGCAGAGTAGCAGCAGCCTGGGTTTGTACTGTGTTTCTGCAGAGGGTTTGGAGGGATAGGTCCATGTTCTCTTCTACCAGCTCCACCTCAGTCCTGGTTACCTTTGAGAAAGGAGCAGGGTGGTTGTGGGTATCATCTGCCATAACCACTTCAGAGTCCTTGTTTTCTTAGCAGTTACACAAAGGCTTGTTGTTGTTTGCCTTCTGGCCTACTCAGCGTGCAGTTCTGCAAAAAAAAACAAAACAAACACCTTTTCTTCATCTTTCTCCCTCCCCTGGATTCCACATCCTGAATCCAGGACCACCTTTGCCATCTTTGTGCAGATGAGACTGTCAGAGTTTGTAACAAAACCCAGGAGTAACGTGAACTCCATGATGGAGGCAAAAGGCTGCTTCTCAAGTACTGCTAGGGACTGTTTTATTTTTAAAGGAGTAGAAAACGTTCAGGCCATTTGGAAGGAGGCTTTTAGACTGTTAGCCTCTGAACTGATGTAGCCTGCAGCTCTCAGCCTGTTGGAAGATTTAAAATCATCTTTCTTTTATCCATAATTATTTTCAAAGTATGTGCCATAAGAAGCTAAAGACATTTTACGATGAAGAAATAAGCAGTCTGGGTAATTGTATGTAATCAGCTTCTCCTCACTTAGCAACAGTGGGACCTGCAGTAAGGCTCTCCCATAACGAAATGCAGGGTTGACTTTCCAGTAAGGCTGTATTTGACCAGAAGTTCCTGTACTACAATTAAATCTGTCCTAAATGGATTTTTTTCACTTAAGCTTACGATGAAACCAGCAAAATAAGAACTTCCTTTGAATTGCAGATGGATGTGTATGTATAAAAAGAAACTGGGAGGTTCTGCTTAGCATTTCTAGGAGACAAGTATGTGAGTAAAGTAAGTCGAGGATATTTCCCGTGTGCTGCTGCAGTGACTGCATGAAGATGATGTTAAAAATCTATATAAGGCCAAATCTCACATAAGCTGTTAACACAGGAAAATGGTAGTAAATAAAACAGGAACCGAACTCAGCGCGTGTTTTGACTTGATCTGTCTGTGAAAAATCCTTGTGCAAACAAGAGAGCCCCTTGGATGTTGCTGATCCACTGGAATTCTTTGTTTCAGGCTCCATTATAACTCACATACACATTAACCTAGGTCACGGTGTGTCTCAGAGCAGAGAGTAAGGCTGTGCTGTGAGACCAGTCAGAATCTCCCCTGCAGTCTCCCTGGATTCTCAGTCACTGTGCTAAAACCCTGCTGATTTTTTTTGAGACATTGGATAGTTTTTTTCTGACTGTATCCACATCCAACACATCTGAAGTCCTCGACATACAACTCAGCCACCCCACTGGGTTTGTGTCAGACTTCAGTTCTGAAGAGAAACGTCAGATGCAGTGCCTTGAATGCTGTGCAGCACTCGCAGCACCAGGCACCTTCTGCAAGGCTCTTTGCACAGTGAGGATAAAACTCATTCCTCATCTCAGCAGGTTTTGCACTGATGTCAGCTGGGGCTGCACAGGAGGCAGAGAACCAGCCCTCTCCAGCTCCCACTGAGCTTACCCAGGCTTCTTTTACCTCTTCACCTCCCACCACCCCTCTTGTGCTTTCCTGGATTTTGTCCCCATCAGCACCAGCATCTCTTGCTACAGCTCTGGCTTGCTGCTTTACTGTCATCTGGAGTATTTCCCTTCACCTGTACATCAACAGCAGTGCGTTCTGCAGTTCTGGGAAAGTATGTGGTGGCTTTGCTGAAATCAGCTGTATAAATATGACTCTGACAGTCCCTGCTAGCAAGTTGATGGCTGTTACTGTAGAAAAGGCAAAGTCTTCCTGGAAATGCAAAATGGCTGTGACACAGCCCCAGATGCTGTGGTTAGCAGGAATAGAAGTGGGAAGGAGTTTGATCTGAGAGTAATGGTGGAGCAAGGCAAAGATTTTCTAATGTGGGTGTTTTCAAGTTAGTAACTGAACTCCACATTTAGATACTAAATAAGTGGCCTCATTTCTAAGGAGGTGGAGGCTCTGTACATCCTGTACATGGATTTGGGTGCTTCAGCTATAGGAACTTGGGCACAGTCTGGCCTCACACTTTTATTGGGATGTTTTCAGAGCTTCTGGACACATGGCACTAATGTAGGTGGAGCTGTGCATACCCAGGGTCAGAAAGCACAGCCCTCCAGTCAAATCCAAAGCCTGGTCCCCAAAAAGCCTCTATGTAAAATGCCTCTGCAGAAACTCATAGAGATCTGGACCATGCTGAGACACAGAGCAAAGCAATCACAGAAATGATGGCCCAGTGCTAAAGTGACAATATTAGGCTTCCTTTTTCCTTTCTGCCTTTCCTGCCTGCGGTTTGGCAGCTCCTCACTCCACAGCTGCCTCCTGCTGGGTGGGTGTTTGTTGCTGATGAGTTCAACAGAAGAGGTGCAAGCATATAAGCTTGGAAATACCCTGCCTGTCTGCCAAGATGGTGCAAACACTAGGTGTGAAGCACCAACCTCTGTGACTATCCCTGAACAAACTGTTCCTAGCCCAGTTTTAAGCAATTCTGCCTCACAACTTTGGGTACATGAAGCACAGTCTTGCCTGCTTATGCTGACACATTAGCTTTAGCAGTAGTGGGAGGCCCACCACGTAATTGCTTGCTTCCAATTTGGGAAAAAGTCAGGGCAAGGGCAGGAAATCCCATCTGCAGGCAGGCTAACAAGCAGGACTAGCAGCCTCTCTGTTTCCTGGTCTTCATGATCAAAACGTAGTTTGCTGTAAAAAGAACTGCAAAGAGAAGCTAGGGTAGAAATAGATGCTAACCAAGACCCATGGCAAGGGTATAACCAAGGTCTGTCTTTGTGTTCTTAGGGCTAGGGATGTGGAAGATCAGTTTGTAGAGTAACAGAGATGTTGTTACCATGTTTTATGTGCTTTCTAAGGCAAAACCAGATGCAGTCAATTCTCAGAAGCAGAGCCATCCAAAATCAAAGGGTGTCCAGTGGGAGGGGATGTAGAAGCAGAAGAGGTCATTTTTCTGCAGCATTACAGCAAAATCCCTGCTGAGTTTTTCCAGCAGCAATATTTGAGTGTGCCAAGTATGGGAGCAGTGCTGGTGAGGCTCTGTACCTGTGTCCTTGCAGAGGCTGGTTGTTTGCCTGGAGGAGTCAATTTACATCCATAACATAAAGGACATGAAGCTCTTGAAGACTATCCTGGATACACCCCTAAATACAACAGGTAAGCAAAGGAATCTGTGCGTAAGGGAGAGGTGAGCTCTGCAGGAGCTTTCCATAGCCACAGTATTTGTTTTAGAATTCAAACCAGCCTGTGGTGCGTGTATTCTTAGCAGCATGATTAATTCAGCACTGGGGAGATGTATGGAGGCAGTCAGGCTGATGAGAGAAGAAACCCTGCTCTGTCCTGAGTAAATGCTCCAAAGACAGCAGCACGGTTTGAGTTAAGTTCAGTCCCTTCCCATCCTGGAAGGGAAACCCACGGCTCACAGCTTGCTGGAGCACAGCTTTGTTCCCTGTTACAAAACCAAAGCTGTAAGGCAGGCCAGGACTTCAAACTCCCCTCCATATACAGGGCAACTGCATGTTCTCCCTGTGGGGCTCCCAACCCCTCCCTTCAGCGTGCCCTGTGTCAGAGTCCTCCAGTGCTTTCCCTCAGGACAAAGGGGCCCTGCTTCCCTGCTGCCAGCGTGAGTCAGCTGTGGAGGCAGGCACACCTTGGCGCTCCCTGCAGACCTGCTTCACACCACAGGCACGCTGCTCTGCCAGGCTCCTGTGATCAATTAGCTGCTCAGAGCAGCTCCCAGAGCGAGTAGTGTTGCATAGAGCACCTGGGACAGAAAACACAGCCAGGCACAGTGCTGATTCCACAGTGCCTCTGAGCCAGCCCTGCCAAGAAGTTCCCCGAGCTTGGGCTGCCACCTGGTATTGTTCCACACGCAGGAGAAACCCGCAGGGCAGGGCAGGTGGCTGCGCAACAGATTTTCCCTGCAGTGTGGGGTGAATCCTGCTGATGGAGAGGAGGAGTTTTTAGCAGTGAGCATGGAAGCCTGGCCGAGCGCCCGCGGCAGCGCTGCCGGATGGAGCTGTGACATCCCGGTCGCAGACCGCAGCAGCCTTCCAAGGGCGGTTGGTTGTGAAGTTATTGATGTGCTCATGCCTGGCTTCTGGGCTTTCAAGGGATGCTGTTCTGGCTTCTCCCCTGACCTACTTCAGGTCTTAACAGATGGCTTCCTCGCGTAGATTAAACATACTAAATACTGCAAATATAATTAAAGTTTAAAACCTTCCTGAGAAAGCCCAGCAGCAGCATGCAGGAAGGGGATATTCCGGGCCTGGAGCTGTTCTGATCAGGTCACGGTTTAAAAGCAGCAGCAATCAGCAGTCACTGGGACAGGACTAGGCTGCTGCGGATCGTAGGACTTCATGCAGGCTTAATTTTCTAAAACCCTTTCACCACAGCAGCTGTCATTGAAATGAGCTGAGTGACAAGTGCTGTGACACGTGTGCTCCCTTTGTCCCCCGGCATCTGCTTGGCTCCCAAGCCTGACCCCAAAGACAGCGTGTCCAGGAGGCCAATGCAGGCCCAGCCTACTGCTCCTTTTCGGAGCAGGGATCTGGGGATCTGCTGCACACCCATGGGCAGTCACTGCAGGATGGCTGCCTGGCGCTGTGCAGGACTCAGCTCCCAGCCCATCGCTTTCCTTCGGCTTGGGCCGCACAGGAGGGACTGCAGGTCGAGCAGCCCATGCTGCTGTCACACGGCTGAGGGAAGTGCAGTGACCTCGGGCTCCCCTCGCACACACATGCCAGGAGAAGCGATGCTTCCTGCGGGGCGATGCGCGCAGCCTTTCCAGGATGATCGCACGCGCCGCGGGCTGCCGCTCGGTAATGTCTGGCCAGCCTCCTCCATGCAGGAGAGGAAAATGCCCGGGGTGGGCGAGTCTGTTGTTTTTCATGCATGCTCAAATAAGGAGTGAATTTCTCTCCTGAGAGGAAACCACACTGCTTAGTTGTGAGCTTTCAGCTCCAGGCAAGCACACGAGCCAGGCTGATTGCTCGTGCGTGAAGCAAAGCCCCTGGGAAGCACGGCTCTGCAGAGCGGGGCTGTCTGTCACCATCAGCATGCTTGCTGTTCAGGAGAGCACTGGTGGCTCTTGTCCTCTGGGAGTCCCAGACCAAACTGCTCCAGGGAGGGCAGGAGAGCCCCAGGGAGGCTGTGCGGTGACTCGTGTCAGAGGCAGGATATGCACTGGGGTTGTTGTGCTTGTAGACATGCAGACACATGCAGACATGTAGACACTGTGAGGGCTGATCTGAGGAAACAACTGCAGCTTTGGAAAATACTTGAGGTGATTCCCTTGAACTCCGAGACCCCACTGGACTTGCTGCCCTGGCAGCAAAACCAAATTTCTCCCATGCTGTAGGTGTTTCTCCACGCTACAAGAGGAAGCCCCCTGTGATGTGGCAGCTACAGAGATGCTGTACTGAGCCATGCCCACTGACCCTTGCTAGGCTGCCAGGTGCCAGGACCAGAAGAGCATTTTCAAAGGCTGCCGTATGGCTTGTGCTCTGTGTTCTTTGTACGTCCCTGAGGTCAGCTCAGTACACTCACATCTGTGTTTTCCCCTGGCCTGGTTTCCCATTTGCTTCTCCCAGACAGGCGCATAGCAGAGGAAGAGGGTGACTCACACCGGCCGGCTCAGAGCTTGCTTTGTTGAACTTCAGCCTTCCCTAGGCCCTCACTAGAAGGAGTTACACCGACCCCCGGTGCTGTCTGGGCTGAGGAAGACCCTCCTCAGACACACAATTGCTCTTTTCAGCAGTCTCAGAGCTGTCTGCGTTCCCCTAGCCTGCCTTTCTTGGGTGCCATCACCTCTGCTGCCTCTGCTCCACTTCCCTGCCGCGCACACAGTCCTTGGCACGATGTAAATGCTTCTCATTGATAGGGAGTGGACCTCAGGGGCCTCTGGCCCATCCTGAAGCTCCTGGCTGTGCTGCGGTCTCTTTGTTTAGTTATAAACAATGACCTAAAACAAGATCTTCAGCTGATTCTTCCCTACTGCTGGGCCGGGGCCAGAGCAGTGTCCTGACATGACAGCTTGCAATGTCCGTGCGCGTGTCCGTGCGCATTTGTGCCTGTGTGCGTGTGTCCTGTTTGGGCAGTGAGGAGCACAGCCCTGCAGCCTTTAACCCTGCAGCTTCCTCCCCACGTGGGGGACGTGGGACCCCTGGGTGGCAGCCAGGAAGCTGGGGTCGTGCTGAGCCCCCGGCTGAGTGCTGGGATGACTGGGAGCACGCAGACACGGGGCAGGAAGCAAGTGAGATCCATTGCTATGTGTGACATGATCCATTGCGATGATCCTCAGCCAGCAGCAGAAATGAGAGGCAGGAAGAGGTGCTCCGTTCCTGGGTCACCGGGGGGACAGGCGGATGGACAGCCCTACACACACACTCATCCATCCCTGTTGTTTCCTGCAATTCCTGCTCACTTGAAAGGGGATGTTTGGGAGACTTTATTCTCATGTTGGCGTAAAAACAGATGCTTGTTAAAGGGAAGAAATCCTCGTGTGGGTAAAATTCAGCTCAGCTCAAGTTCCTCATCTTCCAGAACCTCCCTGCACAACTGTGGCATTTGCTTTATCTCCCTCTGCTTCCCTTTTCCTATCAGGGAAGGAAGTGGCAGTGCCCAGCCCCATGGCTGCAGCTCAGAGCTCCAGCTGTGCTCTTAGCCCTCCTTACATCTGCAGTTGTCCAGATATGCCGGGACAGGAGCCCTGTTAGCCCTGAGACCAACGATCCTTTGGTCCCTACATTCTTGCCTTCTCAAAGGAGATGATTAAGGAGAAGAAGGGAAGAGCTTCAGCAGGACAGGGGCTCTCTCAGGTCAGGGTTTGGGGAGGCCGTGGCGGGGTGCAGGAGCCATACTGTCCCGTACCAGCAGGTGTCCCCACGGCTGAGGCGTTGCCAGCATCCAGCTGGCGCACAGCCGGTACCGGACACCATCCCAAAATGTGACAGCACCCGAACCCCTGCGGTGTCCATGGCCACGTTTCTGCTTTCTTTGCTCCACCAGCAAACAACCTCAGCTGTGTCCTTCTTGCCCTGCCAGGTCTGTGCGCTCTCTCGATCAACCACGCCAACTCCTACTTGGCTTATCCCGGCAGCGCAACCAGCGGAGAGATCGCACTTTACGACGGAAATACTTTGGTAAGTGTGAAGCTCGCCCATTTGGATACCGGCAGGGACTGAAAACAAACAGAACCACAGCAGAGCCAACAGGGCCTTGGGGAAAGATGAATAAATGCACTCTGCTGCGCTGCAAGGAATGTTTGCCTGGGGCAGGCACATTCCCTATCCCCTTTGCCTGGACGTCGCACAAAGCAGACAGCCTCTTTGAGATCAGAACATCCATTTCCCAGTACTGGATAGTGACCCATGCTCGAGGTTGGCACAGACAGGGCTCAGCGAGCTTCAGCTTCACGCCCAGAAGGAGTGATGTGAGCTGGGTGGCTCATAGAGCTTGGAGCTGCTCCAGGCGTAGGATGTGGGCAGCTGCTTTGCCGTGCCACAGGCTGCAAGGGATGCTGAACCCCGAGCCGTGTGGAGGACGAGGTGCTCACATCGTCCTCAGGAAATTTGCCCCTGGTTAGGAGCAGGGTTGTGCTTATCTGCGGTTTATGCCAGGGTTTTGGATTACATAAGGCTGCTGCTCTGTACGTGCAGCAGGAGCTGGAGATCTACAGCAGAGGAGAGCAGAGCACATATGGGGAAAACACACTGCTGCTGTGGGGAAATGCTAGCAGGAGCCAGGGCTCCCCACAGGCGGTGGGGCCACAGCAGTATCTGCTGTACAGCCACAGTGTGTAGAGCCAAGGCACAAAGAAATGCCAGGCTTTGGAGGCACGGCTGCGAGCCTGCAGCCTGCTTGAGGGGCAAGGAGCTGAGGACATCTGTGCCCAGGAGGAGCTTTTGATAAGCACAGTGCCTGTAGCAGGTGGAGAGTGAGCTCGAGGCAGGGCAGGGACTGTTGGAGGGATACCAGAAGTGCAGCACAGTCCTTTGAATACACATGGGCAGTTCTGCCTAGGGCATGAGGCAAGAACGCCCTGTGCTTACGCAGTTTGAGAAGCAGTGTGTCACTTTACTCTCACATCACCCTCTGTCCTACAGAAAACAGCCTGCACGATTGCTGCCCACGATGGGCCTCTGGCTGCCCTAACCTTCAACTCCACCGGGTCGAAGCTGGCGAGTGCTTCTGAAAAAGTGAGTGAGCACTGCTGGGAGCAACCTCCTTGCCACTGCCAGCCCGTGGCTGGCAGAGGAGCACAGCCAGCCTTGGAGCATGGAATGGAGGGACAGGGGGATGTTGGGGCGGCCCCTTTTTAAACACAGCTTCCCAGGAAGGGGCACTCAGGTAACTGACTTATAGAAGGACAACATATTGTGCCAATATTGACCCAAGGCTGACAAACAGAGCCTCTACACGTTCTGAGTTTCCTTGGTGTGTCAGGTCTTGTGCTCTTTGCCCTGCTCCTGTGTGATCTTTCCATCTGCATTTTTTGCAGGGCACAGTCATTCGTGTATTTTCCATTCCTGGTGGGCAAAAGCTCTATGAATTCCGTCGAGGGATGAAAAGGTCAGTTCATGCTTCTATCAGTGACAAGTACACAGAGGGCTCCTGGAGCAGAAATGTAAACACAGGGACAGAGCACCGTCAGATCCTGGCAGCTTTGGCATCTTTTGCAGAAAGAAAACAAGAGTGAGCATATCAGATAGAAATGTCATTGTGCCAGACAGCCGAGCTGCACCCAGCTGCCTCCAGCAAGCTTAGCAATTCCATTCAGTGTGTCACAGAACAGAGCAATCACAGAGAACAGAGGTGGATTCAGTCCATCTTCTCTGTCCATTTTTTGTTTCTTACTTGAAATAATGAAGTCTTCAGAGCTATCATCCTAATTCTTCTCAAAGGAGGTGTTTTGAAACTGCTAAGCCACTTGCACAGAGCCCAAGTCTTGATGGCAGGGGTGGGCTGGGTCTTCTCTCTCACTATCCTCTGTGAGCAATACCTTGCAGTTCCCATGCAGTGGGGTGCCAAGTAGTGAATGGTCTGTGCTTGGCCCTAGGTATGTGAATATCAGCTCTCTGGTGTTCAGCATGGATTCCCAGTTCCTGTGTGCTTCGAGTAACACAGAGACAGTGCACATCTTTAAACTGGAGCATCTCACTGACAGGTGAGGGAGTAACCTGAGCTAACCTGCTCCAGGAGTGTCCATTTTGGACATCTGCCTGTACAGCCCTGTTTGTCTCCCCTCAGCCGGCCAGAAGAGCCACCAACCTGGAGTGGGTACATGGGAAAAATGTTCCAGGCTGCCACCAACTACCTCCCTGCCCAGGTGTCGGGCATGATGAACCAAGATCGAGCCTTTGCCACTGTCCGCCTCAACATCTCTGGACAAAGGAACATCTGTGCCCTCTCCACGTACGTACTGACATCTGTGTCCCACTGCCACACCAGCCTTCAGGCAGACACAGCTATGGATGCTTACGTCCACTGCTGTGCCTGTCACCTTGCACCCTGCAGAGCACACAGGCTATGTTTGCTGCCAGCGTGTGCATGCAGCTGTTGTGTTTGAACTCGTGATGCTTTTCTCCTTAGGATTCAGAAGCTGCCCCGACTGCTGGTGACTACATCTGATGGACATCTCTATATCTACAACTTGGACCCACAAGATGGAGGAGAGTGTGTCCTAATTCAGAAACACAGGTAAATGCCCCTCCAGCGCATTGATGTTCCCTACACATTTGAGATAAATGCTGATCCTTAAAAACTAAGAAGGGGAAATTTTACCTGCAAGCACAAAATGGAATTGTAGGAGCAAGAACATTGGAACTGCGTTGTGATTTTAGCTGCTTGATCTAGCAGACATCTGTGAAGGCTGCGTCAGTGGCAGGGACGTGGGGCAACGTGCAGAAGAAAGCAGGCACATCTCAGGCAGCTGCGGGACGTAGCCTAGATGGCAGAGGTGGGCTGGAGGAGATGCCTCCATCAGACCCGAGGGTGGCAGAGAGCACAGCACCTCTCCCAGGCATCGGCGGGTTCTCAGAGCCAATTGTGGGGCCGCGATCGTGTGGAGCAGCTCTGGGAGCTTCCGTCAACAAAACCTCACACACACGCACGCCTGCAGGCACGCAGCGCCTCAGCAGAGCCTTCCGTGCTGCCGTTCCGTTTGTATGCCAATTTGATTAAGCACGGAACCCCGCATCTGGGCTGCTTGGCTCCAGATGTGAAGCCTTTGGGGTGGGGTGCGATGTAACATGCGTTGGAAGCCAGGACGTGGCTGGCAGCCAGGAAAATGCCAACAGATTTCTAAAAGCCGCAAAACAAAAGCGCTTCAAAGCTGCGCTGTCCAGCGTGCTCCGGCCGCCGGCCTCCCAACTCCTTCAGACACTGCTGACCCCCCTCCCGTGCTCCCATTGTGCTGTTGCTGTCCGGAGCTGGCAGCCCTGCGTTGTATGTGGGTTCCTCTTTTAGCATCAGAGGACCGAAAAGGGCCCTTGGGTCATGAGTTACATTACATCATACTATATCTCTGCTCAGGCTCCGTCCGAAACTAGCCAGCACTGCTTTTCCCATCTAGTCCACTCCTGTTGGAAGTCCTTTAGAGCCCCCTCCATGATTAGAAACACTGTTTGCCTTTGTAACCTAAAGCTTTTGTGGTCAATCTGTTCCCTTCTATTCTCATGCCAGCATTGTCCTCTAGCTGAAGTACTGCTTTCCCTATCTTCTGCATCCCCCTGCTTCATTTGGAGAGCACAATGATCTCCTCTTCTGCAGCGCTGTTAGGGCTGCAGTCAAAGTTTCGATGCAGTGTTACAAATCATAGAACTGTAGGATGGTTTGGGATACAAGGCACCTTTACAGACCATCTAGTTCCAGTCCCTACTTGGCATTAGCCTGGGCATCTTCCAGCTCTTCAGTTGGGTGATGTGCCTCAAGGAGACACGAGTGCAAATGTGTGTCTCAGCTAGTGCTGAATGGGATCAGAACTAACTCTTCTTCCCTCTTTTGCTCCTGTACAATCAGTCTGCTCAGCTCAGGAAAAATGGAGGAGAACAAAGAAAATGACCTTCAGCCTCCATTACCTCAATCTTATGCAGCAACTGTAGCCAGACAAAGTACAGTGCCTTCAACTTCGACCATGCCAGGTAAGCACCACACCCTCCCTTTCTTGGAGCAAAGAAAGCAAGACAGCCCCTGTAGCAAAGTGGGAAGTCTCTGAACAATCAGATGTTCACTCTAACCATAAACAGTCCATGTGCAAGGCGCACTGGGGCAGCAGGGCCTTCTGCAGCTCACCCAGTTCATTCGATTGGGAATGGGTCAGTTATTTTCTGCTCTCTGCCCATTGCCAGGCAGCTGCAGTCCACTCCTGATAGGTAGTGTTGATTGTGATACCTTTCCCTTCTGCTGCCCCCAAGTGCTCTGCCAAATGCCAGAGAAATCAGGATGTGTTAAAGCAATGATAACAGCGTTGCAGCTGTTTGTTTCCAGCCTCATAGCACTCATTTATCAGCAGTGCTTTGCTTTTCCACTTCTGCAGGTTATTCGGAGGATGGTGGTGCCCTGCGAGGAGAGGTTATCCCAGAGCATGAGTTTGCAACTGGACCAGTGTGTCTCGACGATGAGAATGAGTTTCCTCCTGTGAGCATTCGGGACCCCTAAAACAGCAATTCAACCCCAATGCTAAGAAGAAAGTATTAACCTCTGACAGAAGAAATTCTGTTGCCCTGACCTTGTCCCAGTTAGCTGTGAAGCTTAGAATAACTAATTCAGGTATAGGGAGAGTGCCAGGAACATCACTCCCCTACTACATGGCAGCTGGGATGGGGCAAGGATGATCAGCCTCATAGGTAGAGAGAGACCTGAACAAATGAGCAGAATGAAGTTCAGATGCAGAACGGAGTTCAGATCCAGACCTGACCTTTGTGCCTTGCTCAGATTTCTAGTATTATCAGGAATAGCTTTAATTTGAACAATGCCATCATTTAGAAATAAAAACTTAGTTTTCCCTGTTGGATTTTCAATCAGTTGTATTAGCTTATGGAAAACAACTGGAACATACCTGAACCTCATCAGCCCTCTGGAAATATCTCATTTCCAGAAAAAGAAACAAAGCAAAACAGATTTTTAAGCCATTGTTTTGTTTTTTTAAGTGGCACTTTCTCAGTTACTGTTGGAAGAACATACTGGCTTTATAAAATCTAACTTAAGCCTGGCAGTGTCGCTCCCACTCTTCTTCCTGTTATATAAGCATTTACTGTGTTAAATGCTTGACCCCTAATTGGACAGATATTGCTTACACTGCTGTGATCTGGCTGTAATCAGCAGCATCTTCATGATAGTAATGCATTAATACAGCAGAATATTGTAATGGATTTCAAGCTGTAGACTTGGCAGACTTTGGAATTCCTTACTCCACTTTCACATATCCTGCTGTTGGAGATTTGCCTGAAGAAGGAGGAAGTAAAAATTTCATTGGGATCCCAGGATTTGTTCCATATGCTGGGGCTGACCTCCTCTGTAAGGCACTTTCAAATTAAGTGATGCAAAGAGTTATTTATATAAAAGATGACTAATTCGTGCCTCCCTTTGAAACTCTGCCTAAACGCAGCTCTTCAAGTCACATAAATCTCAGGCCGATTCTCTTTACCTGTGCCACAGCTTGTTGCAGACAGAGCACGAGAGTTTTCTATCTCTCCCTCTCCATCCCCTAAGGAGGACATTTCAGTGTCTCCCATCTGGTCAAAACCTTTGGGCCGCAGAGCAGCTGCAAGGAATGTCTGAGGAGCAGCACAGCCAGAGAGAAATCCTTTGCTTCCTTCTGACGAACCTGCTCTTTGAGCATGTGGTTTGGGGCCATGCAAATGCCAGCAAGCAGGAACCACGCTGCTCCTGAATGAGCCTGCCTGCTGGGACTGCGCTGTAAAAACCGGCCCCAAACCCCTGCTGTACAGGCAGGGGTTTTATTAAATGGACTTTGATCTGTCAAAATCCTGTGCTGTAATTAACCTGACGGAGCAACTTACATGTGTAACGTTAGGGAGGAGGCGGTGTGAGAGGGAAGGAGCTTTCCAGAAACGCTCCCTGATACGGCAGCTTCGCAATTGGAGCTTCCAGATAAAGTGTGTACAGTCAGGACTTCAGCTTTGCCCTCCATTGCTGACGGTGATGTGTTTTGCATCTGCTCTGCTCGCTGGCGCTGGCTCCCGCTGTGTGCTGCATAGGGAAACTTGGTTGGGATGTTTTGATGTTCTGAATTTCACTCAGCTTCGCTGTTTTCTCAGCGCTGAGCAGTTTGGTGACTCGTCCAAGAGGGGTTTCAGGGATCGGTCACTTCTGTGCAGAGAAGGAGGGAGAAGAAAACTGACCTTATCCAACAAAAATGTTTTGACAGCGTTCTGTTTTGCGGAAACATGGGAAGGGTTTTGTTTGTTTTCCAATGTGCAACAAAAAGACATTTAAAAACCTCAAAACTTGTGACAAAATGGAATATTTACCCACAGCCCACGAGCACGGCTTTGAACTCAGACGTACTTCTGAGGAGGAGCAGCAGTGCTGAGACCCAGCGGATCCTCTCCATTTTGAAATGGTTTGCCTTCCCCTGACCTCAAGTTCTGGTGAGCAAGACTTCAGAGGCTCAGCTGTTAATAACAAGGAAATGCAGCTTCGGTCTAATGCACAATCTGTGGCTGATGGTAGAAAACTGCTTCTTCATTAAATGGAAGGAGGGACAGGTCAGAGAAGAGAGAAGCACAAGGAGGGCTTGTAAAAACACCTCAATAAGAATGAATGTGGCTATTGCTGTTGATGATGCCAGCCCTGCTGAAGTATCCTGTAGCAAGAGGTTAAGCAAGTTCAACTATGTGTCTTGCTTACACTGATGGGCTGGATTAAATGCTCTCAGGTCTCCTAGGAGCTCTGGAGTAACTGTGATCTTCTGCAGAAGGTACTCTGGCATTATTGAGATGGACAGCAGGCTGAAGGAGAAGGTGAAGAGAAGATGCTGTGCCTCAGATGGGCTCAAGGAAGCAGCACTGCACCCTGAACTGAGCAATTGGACGGCGTCGTGGGATGAACGAGCCCAGCTGTGGCTGCAGGCAGTTGGGATGGTCCCTGCCATTCTCACCAAGCAGTTGCCACCTCTCTGCAGGTTCATTGGTGTCACTGAAGCTTCTAGCAGTGTCAGAAACGTTGGTGTGTGTTCACAGCTGGCTGCTCAGCCTCAGCAGGCACCACAGGGCAGGGCTGTGAGGTTCCACATAACAAACTCCATAGGATTCAGTAAGAATGAAGCCAGATGGTGCATGTGGCATGTGTTCATACATCAGTAGCTCATGTGAAGTGTTTCAGAGTCTTTGCTGCTCCCACTTTCCTCTCTCTGGCTGCTTTATGACTAAATGGTTTTGGCGATACCTAGGATTGGTTTTGCCTTGCCTTGTTCAGGTTGGATATTAGGAACAACTTCTTATCTGAAAGCGTAGTCAGACGTTGGCACAGCTGCCCAGGGAGGTGGGGGAGTCCCCATCCCTGCAGGGGTTCTAGAACAGTGCAGATGTGGCACTGAGGGATGTGGTCAGTGGGCACGGTGGGAGCAGGTTGGGCTTGGGGATCGTAGTGCTCCTTTTTGATCTTAATGAGTCAATCATCCTCTAATTCTATAATTCAATCTGAGTTCCATCTGCAGTCCCCAGCGATGCACACTGCGTTCCGTTCTCCTACTGTGCCAAAGCTGAACTTCTAGGGGAGCTGGTGGGGCAAACACAGCTCACCCAGAGTGACCCCAGTCCTGCAAGCAGGGCTGCACTCAGTGCCATGCCCACCCCAGGAAGGACACAGCACCAAGGCAGCTGGTTCCAGTTCCCAAGGCTTTAAATTTGGGGAGTGGGGGGGGAGTAAATAAATAAACCTCTAACAAATCTGCCTTTGAGTGGAAAGTAAAACACTGCAGGACATCCCTCCCCTTCTCCTCCCATGTACGTAAAACCAACTTGAAACACACCCTGTTGCTGGGAAAAGTAAGGCTGTTCTGTTTTGATTTTGGTAGATAATCTTGTGCCGTGGAGGTCAGTCGGGCAAAGCGAAGAGGTCATGATGGAAGCAAACATCCGTGTGCAGGACAGCTGCTGGGAAGTGCTTTGGAGCAGCCAGGAATCTCGAAGAACAGCTTCGTGAGTCTTCAAGATGACTAAAAAATCCAAGGTGGGCCACTGCTTTTAGGCAGAGTACGTGTGAGTGAATAGCTGGTCCTGCTCACCCCTTGTTTTTAATCCTTGTCTGGGTGGGGTGCCCATGTACTGTATGCACGTTGCTATATTTAACAAACCATATGTTAGAACCACATTGTAAATGCTAATTTAATCAGATCTGTATGTAACCAGGATTTTATATACCTGTTTTACCCGTTTCTAATTTATGCTGTTTTATGTGTATAAATGTACTTATAAGAAGATATATTAAACTTATGTCTTTGTACAGTACATACTATTTTACCCAAGCAAAGTATTTTTGCAGTGACACAAGAAAAGATGCGATTTGCTACAGCTAAAGACAGAATAAAGTCACAGTCCGTCCCTGGCAGCTCGCTGCCCATGCTCCTGCTGTTCTTTGTGGGGCCCTAAAGATGTCAGTCTTGATTAAGCTTTAGCAAGTGGGTTTGGGGCTCTGCTGAGAGGTTGGTGGCTCCGGCACCATCCGGACCCAGCCCAGCCAAAGCCACACTGTGCTGCTGTGGGAGGCTGTGGGCCAGTGCTAATTGCAAACGGTTGGGCAGCCCCTCTAATTTCAGCAGTGCTGCCCGTAATTACAACTCCCAGTGGCTGGTGTAACACCTTGCTTTGCTTGAGACAAGCCACTTACGGCTTGTCCAAAGAAAGACCTGGGTGCGTAATTTGGAGTCCAAATGTGTTTCAGAAAACCCTCACTCAGTTGCTGGGAAATCCTGGTGGTTTCTGAGTTTCAGTTGCAACTTCAGTTTTGCCTCTGCAGCTCCTCAGGCTTTTGCATGTGCCCACAAATGTCCCACAAGAGCCTCGCCCAGCCCTGCAGCATCGCATCGGGGATGGCAGGAGCTGAGTCTGCCTGCAGCACTGGGCTGCCTGGACACCTTGGGACCCTCTCTCTGAGCTCCCTAGAAGATGCATATACACAGTTGACAGGGAGCAGTTCCTCCAGTTCTGCATTGCACACCTGTTTATGCCTTTCAAAATATCAGGACTCAGATACTTCTCCCAAGACAATCTCTGGCCTCCGCTATGCAGTGCACAGCAGCTGCAGGACACACCAAGCATGCCATCTAGCAAGATGTCAGGGACGTGTAGCCCTGCAAGAAGCCCAGAGCCACCAGGTGCTGCAGTGACTGCTCCAGCCAGGGGACAGGGCTGCTCTGCATAGAGCTGCAGCAAACGGGACCCTCTGCTCCCTCACACACAGCTGAGGGAAGGCTCTGTGCAAGGCGCAGAGCACGGGGAGCTGCAGCGTCCATCCCTGCCCATTGGGCCAACCTCAAGCCTGCAGCCAGCATGAACAGCAGTCCCATTCACAGAAACCAGGATTGGAAGAGAAGCAGCTTGAGCAATGATTTGCTTACACACAAAGCCGTGTTGCTCTTCTGTCCGTGCGCTGGTGCAGCGAGGCTGTGTGAGATGTGGCTGTGTGGCACCGGCAGGCCTTGTGCTGTGTGCTGCAGCAGGGCACTGCTGACGGGTCCTTGGAGTAGTCTGCAAACGTGATGTTGTCTGTTGCAATATCCTCCAGGGCCTGGGCATAAGCCCTGCTGACTGCAGGCAGCACTGCCTGATACTCCCTGGATGCCACGTCCAAAGGCTCCTGCTCCTGGATATCGCGATCCAAGTTGAAAATGAGCGGTGGCCAGTGATGCTCTTCTAGCCCAATGCTTCCATCACAAGCCTTCGCCCCTCCTAGGGAGGAAAAGAGAAACACAGTGCAGTGCCAGGCTGCTCACCGCTGCCCAGGTATCACCTCCGTGTCGGCCCTTTGCCACCATAGTGGCTTTGGAAGCCCTTTGCTAGGGCTGTGACACGCACACGCTCCTTGCTGGGCTTGCTGTTGTTGGTGTTAATCTGATTTGGTTTTCACCCATCCCTGGCAAGGAACTGAGAACTCCAGAAGTTGTTGTCCTGACTTTAGGCTCTGTAATGCAGCTGCCCTACCTGTGGTGTAGAATGCCTTGTACTGAGCCAGCCGCAGCGCCTCGACCGCCCCGTCCTTCCCTGCTGCCCCGCTGTTGGGGTGAAGCAGCATCTGAAGGAAGAACACAACACAGCCCACTGCAGACAAAACCTGCTCTGTCCCAAGATCTCCCAGCACGGGGTCACCCACACATTTAGAGGCACTGCTCAGCCCAGGAGCTGCAGCTTCAACCCGAGTTCTGCCTGCTGTGCCCGCAAATGGAGTCAGGGTGAGGAAGAAGGGAAGGAGGGAGGGGTGGGTCGAGTCTCTGCTCTTTGGTATTTAGGACACTTGATGCCTTGGCACATGGCAGTGAGGAGACAAGTGAGCTGGACGGTGCGCGTCCCTCTGATCAGATCTGCAGCAAAGCCAATGGCTTCGCTGAGTGATGAGTCACCAGAGGTTTCCTCCCTGGGAATTGAATTTAAAAGTGATTCAAGAAATTTCCACTGTGCTAAAAATTAGAAACATCTGCCGAAGTTGTAGGCAGCTGCGGTGCCAAGTTTAGTAACAGTGTTCGCAGCTGATCAGCACTGTAATGACCTAGCAGGTGTCCGGCGGCACCAAGTGCTCTGCCCAGCACCCCCAGCAGGGCCACGATTCGGGGGGAACTTCCCATGGCTCTCAGTTTCCTCTACTGCCCTCAGTTGCAAGGCATGAGAGGCAAAAATGCCATCTGAAATTTAGTTTTAAAACGGTATTTTATGGGAAAAAAAAATCTGAGCTGAGGAGGTGGTGTGGTGTACGTCTGCTGCAAGGAGGAAATCCGTACTGCCATCCGCTCCCCTCCCTCTGGAAGAAGCAGATGGCTCCAAAGCAGAAATCAGCATTATTTTAGGGTGCCTGAAGCCAAACTATCAAGAATTGAACCTATCTCTCTGCTTCCAGCTTTACAGCTGAGCTTTGCTTGTCCCCTTTAACTTGAGCAGCATGGGCTGGATGGTGCTGTATGGCTGCAGAGCACCGAAACAAACAGCAAGCTCGCTCACGAGCTGCCTCCTGGAGCCCCAGCACCAAGAAAACCCATGAGGACTGACTGCACACATAAAGAGTTTGCTTCAGCTGAGCCCTTTTAGGAAACATTCCCAAGGTTTGCAGCCAGGTGACTTTGTTATTAAAAACAAAAAGAAGAAATAGGAAAAAGAAAGACAAACCCCCTCCCCAGAAAACCTCCATCCGCACGTAGAGCTGCGGGCTGTTTTCACAAGTGAGCCGTGCGTGGGGAGGAGGAGCACAGCCCTCTACATTACGCTAATGGAAAGAGCGTATTTGTGTGACACTCGTACCCTTGATACATTTCGTGTGATGTGTTTATTTTTACTGTAAATAGCCTTTGCTCAAAACAGGGCCTTGGCTGCTGCCCAGCTCCGTCACAGGTTGTGCCGGCGCTGAGCCGGGCTGGGACACAAGCAAGGTTACGGCCGCACCGCGAGCTCAGCCCCCACCCGCCTGAGTGGGAAAGCAGCTGTCAGCAGCGTGCGTGGATCCAGCGGGCGGGCGAGAAGAGGAACTGCTCTGGGAGGATTTGTGTCAAGGAAAACCCTGCGACATCAAAGGTGGTTTTGCCATTAAGAGATGAAAGCGCCGCGCTCCCGCTGCTGAGCCGCGAGGGGATGAGCGCAGACGAGCGGTGCAGGGGGAGATGCTCAGTGCACTTGTCTGCGGGGCTGGGCAGGGACAAACCCTCCTGGGACAGAGCAGCTAGGACAGGCAGGGCTCTGACAGCAGCACAACACCCCCGAGAGCAGCGGGGCAGCAGCTGGGGGCTCAGCCCGGGTTTGGGGGATCGCCTCCTGGTCCCAAGTATGCAGTAAGGGCTGGTGAGGGCGGCCCCACGCTGCTGTGCCTCTGCAAGAAGAGGTTTAATCCCTGAGCCACGTCCCATCCGCTCCCACGGTTTATCTCACAGTTCAGTAGAGGGTTCCATAAATACGAACTAAATACCAAAACCCTGATGGACGCAGCTAGCAGATCCAAGATTCCTGCTGGGAGCAGGCTCGTGGTGCTCACAGGAGAGCCGAGTTGAAAAGCAAAACCGGGCTCTATCTGTGGGTCTGCTTTAAAGCCAAACTTCTTTTTATTTGGTTCAGTGAAAAACTTGTAAAATTCTGAGAAAAATATATTGCCGTACTTCTCGTTCTGGTAGCTGCGTTTCTCATGCCTAAAGGAGCCGTCAGCAGCTCCTATTGTTGCAGGGGCAGAGAGCTGCAGGGCACGGGGCTGCCTGCCCCTCTCAAACATCAATAACAGGCACGTTTCCGAGCCAAGGAGCTCAGAGAAGGAGTGCTTAATTACATCTCTATCTGTCAAGATCAATAAAGTAGATAGAAGGAGGTCTAAGCCCCAGGGATCCTTTGTTTCCCATGCCTGTGCACCTCTCGTGACCAGGAAGGAGCAGCGCCATGCTGTGCCCATGGGGACACAGAAGGGACGATGCTCCGGTTTGAAACCATTTCCCCCTGTCCCATCACAACAGACTCCACTACAGATTCTGTCCCTTTCCTTCTTGCAGCCCCCCTTTAGATCTGAGGACATCCCCAGGATGGGGCTCTCCTTACCTTGTGTCCCACGTCTGACAGCCCAAAGAGAACCGGGGACACGTCCACGCCATCAAAGCGCCTGTTTGGGGGAAGTGTGGCTCCAGCCAGGGCCACCAGTGTGGGGAAGACGTCCAGGGTGCTGGGGAAAGAAGCAGGTTCCATCAGAGTACAGAGCAAAGCCCCCAGCCCCACCTGCACCGCTATCCCTTGCTTGGGGGGCCCTGGCTGCTTCCCTACAGCAGAGCAGGGTGCAGCCCCCGCCACGTCGTCCCCCCGGGCACATGGGGAAGGCCCCGGGTCACCCAGCACAGAAAGTGCTAGCACAGGGTTTTTTACGCCAATCCCAGCAGATCCCGCAGCCCCAGGAAAATGTGGTCTCGCTTTTGCCTCGCACAGCACGAGCCATAGCAGCCAGAATGGAAAATGAGAGCGGTGCTATTTTGTGCACTTATACCAAAATGCCTGTCAGCATTTCCACCATAATCCTCTCTTTTCAGGGGCCTCCGCCACAAAAAATCTCTCAGGGCTGGATCTTGGTTGCATGGGTGACCCGGTGCCCTCTCACTGCCAGTGCTGACACGGAAGGCAAGCAAGTCGAGCAAAGGCACATCCTGCTGCAAGGCACACCTCCCTCCTGGGCAAGTGACACACGGCAGTGCTGTGCTCCCTGGGCAGTTGGCTCGGCTGGGGTGATGCTTGCACCGGGCACCCTGCTCCCTACCAGGAGCTCTGAGTCCCAGCATCCCCCAGCTGAGCAGCCCAGGGCGCAGCAGCAGTCACACTGCAGGAGCAGGGCCCCTCGCCCGGTGCACACAGGCTGTTGCGTGAGCAGAGAGAGCAAACAGCCCAGGACTTTAGGGCCCCTGTTTCTCCCATTCAATGAGTTTTAATTTAGCTGCTAAGAGACGGAGAGGACAAATAAGAACAAACAATGCTGAGGAGAGCTGAAAGGCAGCCCCGGCTATGCAGCTCTCGTGGAGACGGCCGGAGCAGCCAGGAGGCACCAAAATCCTCGGCTCCCCACTGTGCAGAGCTGGAGTGCATCCCTGCAGGATCACACTGTGCTCTGCACGGGGCTGCCCCACATCGCTGCTGTGGTGCTCAGCACCCACTGGGTGCAACCCCGGCACTGTGATGTGTCTGTACCCATCCCATGTGCAATTACCCTAAATCAGGACCTGGACCCCCCTGGAAACCATCAGAGCTCGCAAAAAGGGCAAAGCAAGAAGGACTGGGACAGTGTCAGACAGGTGCAAGCAACACACTGGGATGAAAGAAGGCATTTTTCAGCATTTAGCAAGGGCTCCATGGGTACGGACAGGCTCCCAAATCCCCAGCTTGAGCTGAGCACTTGCAGCAGCAGCCCCGTTCCTCCCAGCGCCGAGCACTGCGCTCTGCTCACTTCTTGGCCACTCCACTGACCCACTTCCTCAGCACCCTGCAGGGTGTGGGGCATGGCAGGAGGCTCCCACCATTAGCTATGATTAAGCAGCGTGGTGCAGGGCGCGGTGCGCGGGTGCAAGTCCATGCAGCTCCAGCTGCTGCCTCCCCAGCCGCCGGCCACGCTCACCTCCTCTCACCCAGCAGGGAGGTAACGAAGAGAGGTGATGCCACACAGCCCTGGGCAGAAGGAGGGCTGGGCTGGGGAGCTTTCTCCCAAGTCAAGCTGTAATCACTGCCAGCACTTCCTAACCCCAGGGCAGGAGGACGCAGGTAATGCCTGCCCTTGCCCAGGCTCACGAGCAGCCTAGCAGAGGTCACCTCTCTCCAGGACAGGATGAACGAACCTGCTCAACTCAGAAGCATTAGGGTGGGACCCCTGCTGAGGTCCCCAGGAGCCCCGTGTCCCATTGCAGTGATCCCCACAGCCCCACCGTGCCGCACAGCTCCAGCTGCACAGCCGGGTCGGCTGGGTGCCAGCACAGCTCCAGCCCACAGCTGGCAGCTCCCTGCCCTGGGTTGGTTTGTATCACACGCCTGAACTTTACGAAACCTCCCTGGGCTGTTGGCTTTGAATTTCCACGGTGGAGGCAGGCTCCCCTGTAGGCATTTCTGAATAAGCAAAGCTGTGCAGCTGGGTCAGCAGTGATGAAAAGCAGGATGGGTTGTGCTTCCTGGAGGAGCCCCGAGGTGCAATGGGGCTCAGTGCAGGGACATCAGCACCGAGGTGACCACAGCCAACCGGCACGGCAACCACACGTGGCTGGAACTGCACAGCTCTGCAGCCAACATGTGGGCATAAACGGACCCAGCGTCGCAGCTTTGTCTTCAGAAGAGTACAAAGTAATAATGATAAAGAGCTGAGGAAACCCCTGGGGAATGGTGGAGCCCCTGCGTGAGCAAGCAGTGTGTGCAGCATAGCCCCGTGCTGGCAGCTGTCTGCATTTTACAGCCGCCCAACCTGCTGGACTGGATCTGGGAAATGCAGGAGATAAGGAGTGGGAGATAACCGGGTCCCCTGGGGCTGTTTGGTGCAGGGGGACGCAGGCTGGAGTTCCCCATGCAGGGAGGGATTTGCAGGTGGAACCCCAGGCGTGCCTGATAGTGCCCTCATCAATCAGCAAGCATCAGAACTCCAGTGCATGCCTGCAACCATCAGCCTTACAGAAATCCCAGAGCTGTTTGCTGCAAGGAGGGATGCAAGTGCTGCAAGAACTGCAAAGAGAGCTGCCAGGAGAGCGGCAGCATTGCTGCCATACGGCTTTCTCTGTGCCAGTCCCTGCAGTGCCACCATCCCCACCATGTCTGTCCCCTCTGCTCTCACCCATGTGCAGGAGCAGCTCAGGACTACCTCGGAGCGGGGCTGCTCTGACTGCCAGCACTGTCCCTCCGGACAGCCTTTCCCACAACCGCACCCTCCTTCACATTAAGCCATTTGCAAACCACAAAGCCTAAGCCTGCTTCTCGGTGGAGAGAGAGAACATCGTCATCTTTTAATTATCGGGAGGCACTCAGCCACCGAGGGGAAGAGAAGCACGGAGCCCCGCAGCTGCTAACGCGGATCCACCAGCCGCACAAAAAGAGCTTTCAACTCCTATTTGCTGAAGCATTAGAGTCTTTGGGGAGAGGACAAAAGTGTGGCGTCACTCACAACGCAGGCAATGCCCAACCAGGGCCCCGTGCTGCCAGGACCCAGATAACCACATGGCTCTGGGGCTGTCAGCACGTGTGGCAGCGTGACCTTGCAGACCCACAGCACGAAGCGCAGCGAGCTGTGGCACAGGCACAACCCACCCCATTTCCCAAACCATCCCTACCTCAGCATGGCGCGGCTGCTCCGCTCGGCAGGGACGTGGCCAGGCCAGTACACCAATGCTGGCACCCGGTGCCCTCCTTCCCAGGTGGTTTGCTTGGCAGGGCTGCCTCCTGCAAGAGAGAGCAGAGTGCTCAGCATCCCCTGCATGGGAGCTGTGAAGCGGCGGGGATCCTCTGACCCAGAGCTGCTTAAGGAACAGGAGTGCCCTGGGACACAGAGCACCCAGAGAGAGGAAGGTGGCAGTGGTTGGAGCTGGGTCAGGGGAGGGAGAAGAGCTGAAGGAGTTGTTACGAGGAATAGGGAGAGGGTGGGAAAGGGGCTCAGCTTGGCATTGCCTTTGGTTTCACATCTACTCCAGCAGTTAAGTGATGAGAAATGGAACCAAATACTTCCATCCACCTCCTGGCTTAGGGCAGGTAGCGAATGCAGGGATTAGTTCCGGGGACTCCCAGCCGTGCCCACGTGTGTGTGCACAGGGTGCAGTACCTGACAGCAGATCAATGGCCCCCAGTCTCATTAAAAACACATCCCTGCTGCTGACCCTGCAGCAATCCCACCTGCTGACCAATTAACCCTTTTCCTTGCTTCCTTGACACAAAGTCTGGGAAGCACAGAGGTGGGAGAGTCACCAGGCCCTGCCTGCAGCTGAGGGCTGAGCACCACAGAGAGGGGCTGAGGATGTAAGTGGGGATGAGCAATAAAAAAAATGTGCTGAGCCGCATGATGGGGCTGCTGGTGGATGCCACGGAGCTGCTGCCTCTGCTGCAGCACCAAGGGCCCCAAGCAGCCGTGGGGAAGAGGTTGGGCATGGGGTGAAGGGAACATCCCAGCCCCACTCACTGTACAGAGCTCCCAAGTGGCCGCTGCCCTTTGTCTGCCTGGCTTTCAGTGTGCACATGGCAACGGCGCGTGCCTGCAGACATTTCCTTTGGCAGAGGCAGCAGCCAGGGGATGTTCCTGCTGCGGGACCCCACGGCCAGGCATGGCGCTTTGAGGTGCACCATGCCTCCTGGGTGTTCAGCTCCCAAAGGAAATGATATCAATTATAACAAGCATTAAATAAGCCTCACAGTATTGCACCTATGTTTCAAGGGATTTGCTGCACAGCGAGCAGCCTGAGGGCAGCAGGAGCAGGGCAGCAAGCCTGTCCGTCTGTCCACAGCCAGAGCAGCCCTGGGACAGATGCTGTGCCCCTGCTTCCCTGCAGCCTGCCTGGTACGGCTGTGGAGCAGGTTGGGAGTCTGCACTGCCCGTGTATGAGCTCATGTTCCCACATTCAGCACTGAACTGGGCTGCAGCACCCCAGACCCAAGCAAGGATTTTTCTCCGGAGCAGGGATAATGCAACCATGCTGAGGCTGCTTTCCAGGAACGCAGAGCTGAGCATTCCCACGCAGGGACAAAAATCACTGCGTCCCCATTCCTCAGTGGGATTGCAAACCTCCAAACTTGGCTCTGAACATAATCATCCCAAGACAAGTGTGTCCCTTCCTGGGCTCTTGGGAACAAGGGATGGGGTTGGGTTTTACGGGTGGGCAGGACGCTTCTGGGGAGGGAAGGGAAGCTCTGCCCTCAACTTGGAGCTGGGGGCCCAGCACTTGTGTCTGCTGTGCTCTGCGTGCAACGGCCAACTGCACCGAAGCAAGTGGAAAACATTCCTGGAATTTGGGTTGGACCCTAAAAGGAAACGCCAAGCTCTGCGAAATGTATATAACCCTGAGCAACAGTTCCTCCCCTTCCTCTCTGTCCTTCCCGGCGTGGGGAGGGGGAGATGCCCAGGAGGAGGCTATCTGACCGCCAGCTGGTGGCTATGGGCAGCCCACCCTCCTCCAGCATCCCCTGCTCCCCAGGGCAGGGTTGTTTTGGCAGGGCTGCATGCGGGCAGCGAGATGCTGGAAAGGGGCCGTGTTTTTGTAGGTTTGTTCCCGAACGCCGCGTTGCCCGTACCATCTGCTCCAGCTTGTGACCATTGGTTGCTCAAGAGAAACCCAGGTCGTCGGCAGGGCTTGTTTACTAAGAAAATGAAGGTTACGATTTCTTCCCAGGGTTGGAGCACCCGAAGGAAGGACCCTGGGAACCGGAAAAGGGAGCGGGGGGAGCCAGCGGCTGCCAGCCTCACAGCCGTGCTCACACAGCACCGGCAGCGGCTTCCTCCCCCGGGTAGATGTCAGGAAGCAGATGAGGAAAGAAAACGGAGCTGCCTCCGTGTCCCCCCCGCTGCTCCCCTCCCGCACTGACCCCGAGCGAACGGGGAAACAAAACCCGCCGCACTTACAGTGCGTAATACAAGCAGAAGTGGGAAATGCCTGACTCATGCATGTTTCTGGCCGCTCCGGCTGAAAGAAACCCACCAACCAGATGGCTTGGCCGGAAAAGGAGGAAATAATAATAATAATAAAAACAAAACAAAACAAGAAGTTAGAAAGAAAATACAACTCCCACTAGGCTGGGCTTCAGGGAGCCGGGCAGGGGGTGTAGGAGCACTGAGACCCGAGCGGATGGAGGGCAGAAACTGAATGCTCCATCACCTGCAGGTCCCAGGAGCTGAAGCACCCCAGGAGCTGCTGCATCAAAGGGATGAAAGCAGCGGCCACCGATCATCAGCTTGCCAAGGGTTTGGGGCAACAGTTCCCACCTGGGTGTAGTTTTAGGGGGAAACTGAGAAATAGATGGATCACCACATCTGCTTTGAAATACAAGAAGTTGCTGGAAAGGCTGAGGAGAGAGAAGCGTTCCCCACTTTCTGCCTGCAGGCAGAGCAGGGCTGTCTGGCATCAGCCCTGTGTACCCCCCTTGGAAGCCTCCCCAGCCCCTTGAGGTCACCTCGTGCCCTCTGCCAGGCCCCCAGCAGTGGCCCCAGGCGTCCCGCCAGCTCACACTTCTGCATCCAAGGGCCGTTGTCACCTGCAAGAGATGGAAATGTCCCCATGAGCAGCAAGCTGGGGCACCTCCACTCTGCAGGGTGGCGAAGGACAAGCAGCCCCCACACCTCCTTGTGGTCCTCAGGGTGCTGCCTAACACCAACAGGAGCAGCGCAGGGTCTGGCAGCAGAGCTGCTCTTGTTCCTGAAGGTTTATTTCCAAGAGATGGGGCCCACTTCTGGGGGTTCCAGGTAAGGGGCTGCAGCAAAGCCAGGGCACAGAGGTGGCTGTCACCAGCTCTGGGCACTAATGAGCTGCAGAGCAGTTCCTGTGCCAGGAGCAAAGTGTCCTCATTAGGGAGGCTGCACAGCGCCAGTGGATTTGGGCTTCTTAATGAGTGTGGATTTGAGGTTCAATTAGGCAGGCCATGCCCGTGAGGGGGGTGGAGGGGTGGCAGGATGGGCACTGGCTGAGCTGCTGCCCATAGGGCCAGCATGGGAACCACGTCCCCACAGTGACAGCCCATGTTCGACCCGTCCTCCTGTCACAGCACATCAAGGACTGCAGAAAAACACCAGTCCCATCTCCTTGTGCCACTGGGGCTGGTGCACAGCCATCACCCACCACCACAGCCAGTTGCAGTGCTTTACCTGTGAACCACAGCAGTGTGTTGCCCTTCCCACAGCTGTCGGCCAGGTGCTTGAGACGTCCCACCAGGGCATCCATCTCACGCAGGGCAGCCCCATAGATGCCCCTGTCCCGTGGTGGGGCGATCTGCAGTGGCACGTGCATGTGGGCCAGCGCCAGATAGAGGAAGAAGGGACGGCTGCTGTCCCTGAAAGAAACAAGGGGAGAGTTCAGTGAGGTTGGGGTGAGGTGCAGGGGGTCACAGCTGAGCAGGGGATGTGGTGCGGTGGCCCTTCCTTGCAGGAGCAGCAAACTTGCTGTAGCTCATGCGGGCAAACTCTGCCACCCTGCAGGACGCTCAGCCCCCAAAACACAAAGAACCACAGTGGGGAATGAAAGCAGAGGCCACCTGCCCCCAGGCAAGTGAGACACATTCCCAGATCACTGCTTGGGCAACACTGGGTGAGCAGCACCTGCCCCAGCACCGTGCCGGGAGGAAGCGGCAGGACAGCACGTCTTCACTGTCCGTGAGTCACTCTTTCCCCACTGAAACCTCCCCAGTGCTGCTTCCTCTCCCCTGCTCCCCCCGGTGCTGACCTTCCCCAGGGCACCCACATTCGGGATGAGCTCGTCCCTTCCTCCATCTCCCACGTCCTACGGCACATCAGCCATGGGCAGAATGCCCCGCATCGATGCTCCCCTTCCTCCCCTTATGCAAGAGGGGAGGCAGCAAGGCGGCTGTTTGCTTTTAAATCACCAGAGGACACGTCCTGTTTTCTTGTTTATGGCTATATTTATCTCCTCCAGTGTGGCTGCTCTTCCTCAGGGAGCTCAGAAGGGAAGGGTGGGATGGCGGGGAGGGGCTGGATCCCTGGGATGTTCTGGTGTGGGTGCCCCATAGCCCCGCTGTGGCCAGAGAGAGATGGGGGCTGCCGGGATCCCACCGAACTGCAATTCCTTCCTTTGCCCCCTGCGCATCACTCACCTCGGGATCTCAGACTAAGAAATCTCACCCTTCCCACAACAGCCATCCCATTGCACAGAGGCAGAACCCTGCGTGGACTTCAGTCCTTTCAGCACCCTGCAAACCACCAGGATTTAGGAAACAAGAGGGGGCTGGCTGCACATTTCTGCAACTGGCACTGCGAAGCACTGCCTCTTTCTGTACATCCCACCATTGCCTGTGGGATTTCTGACACCCTGGAATAGGGGAGCATGGTTCAGCTCCCAGTGATCGCCCGCTGTCTGTGAGCCAGCAGAGCACAGCAACCTGCCTGAGCCCTACCCTGCAAGGAGCCACCCAGCTTCAAGCAGAAACCTCCTCCACCACGCAAAAATGCTTAGCATCCCCTTCACTTCTTATCAGCAGCAGTGCTCCTGTGTAGCCTATGATTACAGCTCTCAAGGGGCAGGTCTGTTTTCTCATTCTATCCGTACCACTCTGGCTCAGGCTCAGAGCCCCAGCATGAGTTTGTCCCATGCACCTCCAGGGGAACTCTCAGACGGGGGAAAACAGTGCACAAGGATCGTTATCCTGGCACCCCACTGAGAGCCCTGCTCGCCTTTTGCATCTACATTTCATAGCTCAGCCCCTCTCCTGAAAACTGAGCAAACATTTAATCAATAACTTAAGACTTAATGTCCTTGGCTTTTGCTCCCGTGTTTGTTGTGCTCTAAGCGTCCTGGCCAGAGCAAAATCTCACTGAATTGCTCAACCTTGACACGACTGGTTAAAAAAACAGCGAGATGACAAATCCTGTGTTCTTTTCGTTGCCCCATAATGAGTGAGTCAGGCAGAGGAAAACTGAAATAAACCATCAAAGGAGAGGAAAGGCAGGCACCTGTTTAATCCTGTTCTCTGTAAACGCAGATAACCCCAAGACAGTGCCCAGACTTCTCCAGATCCCTGACACAGCCCTTTCCTTGCACTATTCTCTCTGTCTCCCCCATTTCTTTACCCCCTACAGCACACAGACCTTTTCCAAGCCCCCCTGCACAAGCAGCCCTGAGCTGTGCCAGGCAGCAGGCACTGTCCCTCAGACGGCCTCTTACAGAGCTGCAGAAAGGCGTTTTGCAAAGTCACAGCTACTAATCCTTGAATAACAGGGATTAGCATTATGAAACCCTTCGGCGGGGCTTGGAGGCTGCTGTTTCCCGGAGGTGCTTTACTCCTCGGGGAGCAGCAAACCTGGGCTCCGTGTTTCCCTGCACCGCAGGGGAAAGTCATCCCGAGGTGACCCCGAGGCCTTTATTTGGGTGCTGCCTGCACCTCCCAGCTCAGCTGCCCAGCAGCTGTCCCCTGTCACCTCTGGGTGACACCACCACAAGGACAGCAGCACGGAGGAGGATGGATGCTTCCCTTCACTGCTAGCCTGGATGCTGGTTCACGTCCAGCCATGAAGATGCCCCCGGATGAAAGGCCGCGACCTTTGCGGTTAGACTGTATTTATAAATCCCTTTGCATGTGATTCTCTGAAGGCCAAAACACTTCTATGGGAGCCCTGTGGGACCTCGGAGCAGCTCCTTCCTTACCCAGAACATCAGAAAACAAAGCCTGGAGGCTCCGTCTCCGCAGATCTGCTCACCCAGCACAGCACTGCCACGTGAGTTCTAGGCATGTGAATTCTGGCTGCCCCAGCATGAGCAGAAAGTGCTTGCCAGCTTCAAGATCTGGTGTGGGGAGAGGGATAGGGATGGGGTTGGTGTGTGGTGCCCTCACCTTGCCTGCCGGATGAAGCGTGCTGCCGCCTCCACGTACCGCTCCGCCAGGCTGCTGAGGTTGACGGGCTGCTGGATGATAGTGAGGTTCTCAAAGAGAGGAAGGGCTACATCCGTGTAGCAGTCTTTATTGCTGGGGCTGCAGGAAGAAATCACTGCGTTATCATCACTGCAGCAAGGACTGCGATGGCTGGGAGCGGGCACAGAGCCCACCGTTCACCCAGATTTGTAGAATAGCACTGCCAAGGGTGGCAGAAAGGGGACAACGCTGGTGTCCCCATGGCACAGACTGCTCCCTGCCTAGCCAGACCACTCCAGGGCCCCACGCTTCACCTCTCCACGCCATCTGCAAGGAGCATGAAGGAGACCATAGCAGGGAGCAGTTCATCGGACTGCAGCTTGCAAATCCCAAATCCCAGCATTCAAACTGCCCCGTGCACGGTGTGTCTCCCCCAGAGATGTACCTGGTGGCTGCGCTGTGCTGTGGGCAGCTTGGGCAGGGTGGCACGTTGTAGCCTGGGGTGTCTGTGCAGCCCATGTCATGGCTGTAGGGGATCCCGAAGTAATAATCGAACCCTGCAGGCAAGGTGGGGGTCAGTGGGGGCCAAGCAAACGCTGGGCACTCATCTCATCTCCACCACGTCCTTACCACGGAAGATGGGGTGGTGGTGGCCATGGTGCCCCAGGTGCCATTTGCCTGTGTGGAAAGCACAGAAAATCATTTGGGAGGTTACTCAGCCGTTGGGCGCTGCCGTCACCAGTGAAACCCACAAGGCACAGTGCAGGATGTTTTAATCTAGCAACAAGAAAGGCCACTTGTTTGTGCTGGCTGGATTTCTTTTTACAGAAACCCAGAAAAAAATGCCAAAGGTATCTCACGTCTATCCAAATCAACCATCTCCAACTTTAAAAGGCTCTTTCATGTGTTTGCGTTCAGAAGAGACAATTTCCTAACCCATCCCAAAGAATTGGATTCATCCTCTGATCTGCAGTGTCCCAAGGCTTGGCTGCACCTCGCACACTGATATCAGACAAGGAGAAGAGACAGCAAGGGCTTCTGTGCTGATGAAACCCCAACACACACATGAGCACAGGCAGCTCCACGTGCAGAGGACTCATCACCACCTGATGCACTTTCAGACGGGTCGCAGCGCACTGTGTGCACAGGAGGGTGCCCAGCACCATGGCCCAGCAGCACAGAGCATCCCAACCTGCACTGCCAGCCCCTGGGGCATCACACTCAGCATCACACCCAGCCGGGGCGTGCGAGGGCAGCGTTGCTCTGCACACTCATGTTTTCTCAGGAAAACTCAGCGTTCCCATTGAAAGGTTAAGCAACTTCAGATTCCAAGGAAACCTGGGGCAGGCCCAAACTTCAGGCTGTGTTTGAATACGAATATGAAAATTAGGGATTGCAGAAAGAGTGGGGAAAGTGCGAAATCTCTCCCACCCCATCCTTTAGCTGCCGGCACTTGCCCTACGTACCCGTGGCACTTTCTTTTTGGGCACCTTCATCTCAGCCACAGTGTGGCTGGTGGGTGTTACCTATAGCTGCTGTGCTGTACCCTGCTGCCCGCAGCACCTCAGCCAGCGTGGTCTCATTGAGGGGCAGGCCGCCCAGCGAGCTGATGGCAAAGTTGTGGGTCACCCCATTGCGCAGGCCGAGGCGCCCCGTGAGCAGAGAGGCGCGGGATGGTGAGCAGGTGGAGGCAGCCGAGTGGAAATCCACAAACCTGGAAAATGAACAGAAAATAAACCTCGGCTTGCAAAATGTGCTCAGTGTGAGCCTGCCTCATCCCTCCCGGCTCACACACAGCCCTCTGAGCCCCAGGAACAAGGGGCTGAAGCGGAACAGGTATCAGGGATGCTCAGAAAGGCCCAGGGTGGGGATGCACTGTTACCTTGTCCCTTCAGCAGCCAACTCATCCAAATGTGGGGTCTCCTTCGTCTCGGCCCAGTTGGCCCCCAGGTCCCCCCAGCCCAGATCGTCTGCCAGGATGACGATGAAGTTTGGCTTCCCCTGTGCCACTGGGGGAGCACAGAGCCCCATCAGCACAGCGAGCAGCAGCACAGACCCTGGGGCTGGAGTTCCCATGGTGCTAACGGGGTGATGTTCTCTCCAAAATGCTCCTCCAGGGCCAGGCTGTGTGCCAGGCACCACTTCACAACCTTGGCTACTGACCTGGCCGAAACACCTGCTCCATCCTTCAAACACAGGCACAGCTGGTACTCCTAAAACCAGCACCAGCAAAAGTGTTATTCTTCCAAGTCAGACACCCTCTTTGAAGTCACTGTCACTCTACTTTTAACTTTCTTTCCTTCCTGGTAAATATCTAAATTGTTATTTTTTCCTCCAGAAGCGCACTTGAATTCAGCAGCTCCTGTTGGGGTGACATCTGACAAATGGCTCTTCCTGTGTAGGGTTTCAAGCACAAGTTTGGCAGCAGGCCTTGTTCCCAGTTCTCTGAAGTGTCCCACGTGGGTAAGAATCACCGAGGCTCTGCTGGCAACTATCAGCAATCCTTTGCCTCCTCAGGTGGTCACGGCTGCAGGAACTCCTGTGCAAGAGACACAAGCAGCCATCAGGACCTGCAGAAACTCCCTAACCCCAATCCTAAATCTAATTAACCCTAACCCAATCAGCCCCTCCACGGACACAGCCTGCAGGGAATGGCTCATCCAGCGTTGAGGCTTTGCCTTTGATGTTGCATTTCTTGCTGCCCTGCCGCCTGGTGCACAGGGTTGAAATCATGCAGCAATCCAGACAAACCAAAAATGCAGTAATGCCCTGGCATTTCTAGGCGTAGAGAAGTAAGTGCAGCACTTGAAAACTGTAAGCTGGGATGGCTGCTTAGGGCAGGATTTGTCTCCAAGTGGCAAAGAGGCAACAAGAGCAGACAATCCAAAAACCAACAGATGTGAAACCCAGCATCCTGAGCACATGGGGACGTGCAGCCAAGCAGGACAAGAGTCACAGAGATAAAGTGTGAGGGAGAGGAGGGAGGGGACGGTCACAAACAAACGAGGACAACATGACAGAAGGAAGCAAGAGAGGGAATACGATGAGCCCCATCTGTAGGCCAAGAGTTTCGTAGCTGGCAGAACAATTTATTTGCAGGTTTCGCTGTGCGTGACTTAAAAGCTTAGGGCTGTCGCTCAGATGGGCAGAATCAGGGCTTTCATCACAGCATTAGGGACAGAACTCAATTCATAATTCATGGCCTGGTGCTTTAACTCACCAGCTCCCAGCAGAGCCCTGCAGCTCTCCGTGAGCTGAGCAGCAGGCAGCACAGCAGGATGAGCCATGGGCGCAGTGTCACAGGGCCATCGCGCACCCTGAGCCACAGCTCAGCCCTGCACACCCAGCTGCAGAGCAACCAGAAAACGCCTGCAATCTCTTTGAGAAGCCCCTGGGATTTTGGGGAGGAAAAGGGCTTGAAAGCATCAATTCACCCGGGCGTGGGGAGGACCTCAGCCCCGTTTGCAGCTCTCTGGCTGGAGAGGACCAAGTTAAGGCTCCAATGCTCTCCTTTTCACTACTGACCCAGGTGAATATATCTATCTAGAAACCTATGTAAGATTTCACACGCACTATCTAAACAGAAGACATGGAGCTGTGCTTGCAATTCCTCCCTACCAGCACTGAATGGTTTTAGAAAGATTTGCTCCCCATGTGGGCACAAAGCCCTTTCCAGGGACCACCACCCCTCACAGCGACCGGAGCAAGGCCACCTGCAGGTGAAAGGGCTGCCATCCAGAAATGGCAGGGGAAACCACATCAGTGTGCTGCTTTAGCACAGAAGGGCTGGGGACAGGAGTGATGTGCCAGGGCTGCCAGCATGCTGACGGGGCAGGGGGACGGGGAGTGCCACCAACACCTCAGCGCCCACTGCAGTCGATTCAGGGGGACCAAAAGGGACAAAGCTGAGCCCCCCATAGGGACGTGCTGATCACAGACGGATGCAGCTTTGCCAGGAAGCCATGCCATAGAATCCAGCCCCCTATGCTGAGGATTGCCCCGCACCGCTCCTCACAGCCCTCCAAACCCCATCCTTGTCTGAGCTGCAAAGGCGCAAGTCGAACCCCCATGCTATCTGCTGAAAAGGCAAGGGGGGCAAATGTAAAAATCTCAGAAGCTGCTCGCTAAGACGAGGGCTGCAGGGCTCTCCTGGCACACTGCCTGGCAGGGGCGACACGTCACAGCAGACGGCAGGCACACCTACGCCTTCAGAGCATCCAGATAGCGGAGTCACCCCGAACTTGGCAGGGGCTCCTGTTTGCTTTGGGGAGGTACACCAGCGTAACACAGCTAAGAAAAACAATCACGAGCGTTTTCAAAGGACATTCTATTCTCTCTAATTTACAGGGGGAAGTCAGCCGGGCCAAAATTTATACGCTGCTGTCAGACAGGGAATCTGAGCTCCGATTTTAGAAGCCGTTTCCAAAAGATGTTTAAGAAAGACAAATGGAAAAGTGGGACGTGACGACGCGGCACGCGCTTCCCTCCCTTGTGCCAGAGGAGCCGTCCCCATGGGCAGCTCTGACCTCCAGCATTACCTGCAGGAATTGAGACCTCCTCCACTCGCCAGACAGCCCGCACTGAGGTTCAGGGTGCTGCACTGCCAGCACTGTGCAGCTCGCTATGACACAGGGGCAGCTCAGCTGGCTGTCAGATGGGTGCTGCATAACAAAGTGAAAGTGTGCTTTTGCACGCCAGATAGCAAGAGAGGGGGATAAGGTGGAACCAGACAAACCAGTTCAGAAAAGCCTCACAGCCTCTGCAGGACACTGCTGGGAAAGGCAGAATAGGAAAAGGTGCTTCTGGGGCTGAGCCCAGGGATGCCACCGCCAGCTCCCAGCTGCCTGCAACAGAGCCCCAGCCAGAGGATCCGCCATGTATTTATTACACATTAACCAGAAGTTTGCAGTCTCGGGGCCAGCATGATGACTTTCACGTTTTTCACATTCCTTCACATTTTCAGGCCCGTGGAGCCAGGTGACAGCTGTGGTGCTCAGAGTGCTCCGCCGCTGTGCCCCGGCGCCACGGCACGTGGGGATGCAGAAGGACAGCAGAAACCCAAACAGCAGCTCTGCTGCTGCAAGGGGCCACGCGGCTGCTGGGACGGACACAGCCTGGTAAGGGGGAAGGTTGTTTTGTTTCCACCTTACCACGTGCAGGTGTTTTATTTTCGTATTTGAACACAGCAAAGGGCAGGCAGTGCTTTGTGTGCGAGCGTTTTCACTGCCCCATTCAGCCTCCGCAGTGCGAGCAGAGCCCATTCCTGGTAACGCTTGTCCTGACAGTGTTCTGAGCTGTCAGAACTCCATTCCAGGAAAAGGTTTCCGACTGGAATAGTTTATACAAGCTCCCCTCGCAGAATAAGCAGCACTGACAAAAACATACTTCGGCAGACTTAACTAGGATTTCTGCCAGATCCTGAGACCGGAGAATGTTTTCCACTCATCTCACCGTTCGGTCTTTGAGGAAAAGCATTACACACACACAGCAGTGCTGGACAGACCCGAGATGAATAACTGAGCTCCAGGTCTCTGCCCCACACGGGCAGCACAGTGCTGGGTGAACCGCTGCTTCCCAGCAGCTGCCCCCTGTGCTGTGCCCATGGTCAGGCTTTGCTTTTCATGGCATTCTGCAGAGCTCCATCTCAAGACCTCAAATCACTCCCCGAATCCTTGGGAAGCAGCAGGGAAAGGAACGAGAAGGCAAAGCCAAAGGACAGATGCAACCTACTGACAAGAAACACCAAGGAGCAAACGCCTTTGTTTGCTTTCATGCCAAAGATATCTGCATTCTTATTTCTCCCTTGGAGGCACAACCTGTTTTGTCGTCCCATAAGCGCTCACGCTGTCACTGCTGGGCTGAATTACAGCTTGGGGAGGGCAACGCCAAGGTGAGGCTGTGTAACAGAAACGTGAGAGGTGCTCACCATGCACCGCAGGGCATGGCACAGCTGGGACAGCAGGCTCAGCGCCAAGCTGCCCTGCCAGCACAGGAGCATCAGTGAGCGGCCAATGGGTTGGTGCTGCTGCAAGAAATCTGTGGGCTGTGTCTAAGTTACCAGGTGAAACTTGTATCTTCTTTACCCAACCTCCCAGAAGTTTGTTGCCCAACCTCTGCAATCTTCACTGTTTAAAAAAAAAAAGAACAGAAAAAAAACACAGAAAAAAAAAGCAAAGGGACTCCAGCCCAACCTAAAGCACTGGGGTTTACTGAGAGGTTGGGAACTGAAGGAGCAGTTTCATTTGGGTTATTTTTCCAGCTGTATAAACCAGAATCAACAGGTTACACGCTGTCCCAGCAAAGTGCACCCAGCACAGTGCAGGAAGGAGGGGTATGGTGTGCTCCACTGTTATCTATGGGTAAAAGTCCCTCTCTGTGAGCCCTAAAGGTGTGAGGCCCCGAAATCATCCCCGCAGTGTGGGCAGAGTCCATCTGTGCCTGGCACATCTGGCATGGCGAGCTGGGCACTGCAGCACTACTGCCTGAAGGGCCCTTCCAGCCCCAGCCATTCTAGAACACTACGATCCCACCACTCTGCAAACAAAGGGACATTTAGCTTCCTAGAGCAAACCTAGCGCCACGTTCTGCAAGTCCACAGTGGGCAGAAGCGATGGAGTAAACCCAGACCTTCTCCTGGTAATGCTTAACGCTGCTCCCCAAAGGCACTGCCTGCTCCCCTCTACCCTTTTTATCACATTTTGTGCTGAGTCCCCAGTAACCGGACCAGAGATGACCCAGTACCATGGCTGGGACACACCACCCCAGCCCCAATTAGCAACTGGCTGGAGACTCCAGCACACCTGGAGACTCTCCTGGTCAGGGACCCTCCAGCACCAGGTGTGGAGACTCCTAGTAGCATGGCTGCAGATCCAGCAGCAGGGCTGGGGATCTCCTGGTAAGCGGGTCAGGGACCCCCCAGTAGTAGAGCTGGAGATCCCAGAGTAACAAGGCTGGGAATCGCCCAACATTTGGGCTCGAGACCTTCCCTGCAATAGGGCCAGGGACCCCTCCAGTACCAGGACTATGGACCCAACTGGGCTGGTGTCTCTCCCAGTACCAAGGCTGGGAACCCCCAGCAGCAAGACTGAGGATCTCCACAGTAACAGGGCTAGAAAGCCAGCAGCAGGGCTGGGACGCTCCCCCAAAAAAAGAGACAAGGACCCTCCACTCCCGGAGCCGGGACCACCCCGCAGCAGCAGGGCTGCAGAACCCCACGTACCAGGGCTACGGACCCGACGGCAAGCAAGGCTGCAGAGCCAGCAGCAGGGTCGGGGGCCGCCCATAAACAGCCTCAAGGCTGGAGAACCCGCAGCACGAGGGTCAGGGAGCCGCTATTAGCCGGGCTGGGGACAGTCCTGTGCCAGCAGGTGCTGGGCCGCCCGGCCGTACAACTCTCCCCCCACCCCTCCGCACCCCCCCATGGAGGCGCGCTCCCAGCACCGCCCCTCCGCGGCACACGCGGTACCGGCGCCGCCGCTGGGGCGAGCCGGGCCCGGCGCGCACATGGCGCTGCGGAGCCGCCGGCGGAGACCGGCTCCAGCCGGTATATAAGGGGCTGGGAGCGAGCGCAGAGCAGCCGCCGCCGCGGGCAGCAGGAGCAGCGAGCGGCCGCCGGGCAGCGGGGCACCTCGGCACCTCCTGTCGCCGCCCCGCCGAGGGTCTGCCGGCATGGGCAGCTCGTAGCCCCGCTCCTCGCCCCGCCGCAGCACCCAGCGCCGCCCGGTGAGTGGCTCCCGGGCTCGGGGAGAGGGGGGCTCGGTTGGCTTTTTAAAATTATTATAATATATTTTTTAATATAGATATATCCATATTTTTCTTCCTTTCCCCCACCCCCTCCCTCCTCCTTTCCTCCTTTTCCGCATCCCTTTATTTTTAGCCGGCGGCCCCGGCGCTGCAGAAACCAGGTCTGAAATGTTCGGAAAGTGATGCAGGGAAGGGGGGGCACGCTGCGTCCCTCTGCTCCGGCATCTTTAATTTTATTTTTTTTTTTTTATTCCCCTTCACGGTTCACCTTAATTTCTTTTAATTTTTAAACGCACCTTATGCACGTTACGGTTGTGTTTTTTTTCTTTTTTTTTTTTTTTTTTGTGGGTTTTTTTTTTTTTTCTTTTTTTCTTCGCTTTAATAGCGTGCTTCCTTCCCATCCTCGTGCCATGACACAGGCATCCAGCGCCGGCCCCTCGGGGGGGATCGCGGCACTTCCCACAAAGTTTGGGCACCGCACGGCGGTGGTCGTGTTTTTCCCCCATCGCGCCCCCCCCCCCCCCCCCCCCCCACCTACCTTTTTCCCTCTATCCCCTCTAACTCGGAAGGATGCTGGTGGCAAATCTTCCCCCCCCCCCCCCTACACCGGCCGTGACCCACCTGGCGGTGCCGCAGAGTGTGGCATTGGGTGCTGGGGAGGGGAGGATGGGGGGGGGTCCCACGGGCACCCACTGTCACGGCTGGGTGCCTCGCTGCCAGGTGAGAAGTTTCCCGGTGGGATGGGGAAGCGCTGCCGGAGCCGCCCAGGGTTCAACCGAGCGTAAAATGGAGGAGGGAAATGCCTGGGGGTGGGGGGGGGTGTCGTGCACCGGTGGCCCCTCTTGGGTGACGGCTGCAGGCGGCGCCGGGACCGCGTCCCTACGGGCAGCGCAGGTGTTGCGATGCAGAGCTGAGCCGGGGCCGCGGGTCTGGCCGTGCTGAAAAGCACCGCAGCGGCGCTTTTGGGGTACAGGTGTGCTCCCGAGGAGTTGCCGAATGCCGACAGCCGCTCGATGTGACGTTTGAGGGCTTTAAGGAGCAGCGGCTTGCTGCGGTGTGCCGGTGTCATTGATCGACGCTGCGGGGAACGAGAGGCACCCCGAGGTGCGGGCGGCCGCGGGCCGTCACTGCCCAGCGAAGGGCTGCGGATGGGGAGGTCGGGCGCAGTCGGGAAGCCGTGCAGCCCCGGCAGCCCTCTGGGTGCCGCGGTGGATCTTTCACGAACTGCATCCATCCCGCTGTGCTGGAACGCAGCTGATCGCTGGGTTTTGCTGATGGGAACGGTTCAACCCGGTGCTGAGCGGAGAGTTTCTGGTCCTTGGTTCAAAGGGCGCGGGTAGAAATGGTCCCTCTGGGACTGTCGGGGGAGGGACTTCAGCCCAACTCCTGGATTTAATTCCTCAGCAGCGCGGGGACTGCCTAGCAGCTCCAGCCAGCTGCTCAGCCGTGCCTTGGTAAGCAAAACTCGAGCTGATGCCTGGTTTGTTCTCTCCTCTTTTCCAGATCAAAAATGACTGTCAAAGCTGTAAAAATGCCGTGCACCACTCCAAATGTTTATACTAAAGTGCCTGACGGAGGATGGGGCTGGGCAATTGCTGTGGCTTTCTTCTTTGTGGAAGCTCTTACATATGGCGTTATAAAATCATTTGGAGTTTTCTTCAACGACCTGATGGAAAGCTTTGATGAAACCAACAGCAGGATATCGTGGATAATATCCATCTGTGTGTTTGTGCAGACTTTCACAGGTAAGAGTAAAGGGCAAGAGCCAGAAGGTGCAGTTCTGCTGCTGACTCAGCACATGGAGGCCAGGGATCAGGGACTTGTGTCCCAATGGCTCCATGTTAAATTGCAGCCTCCAGGCTTTGTGGCTGTTTTCTGAGACACAACCAAATGGCTGTCCCAGCCCCCTGGTCTCCCT